AGATCCCAGGCTCTGAGGGCTGGACACAGTGTCTCCTTCCTTCAACTCAAACCGCCACCCCTGCCCCCGGGACAGGTCACCTGTAGTCCCACCCTCCCTCCATGCTTCCCAAAGAACTGGGGTTGGGCCCCTGCAGCCGCGCGCATGCTCCTGCGCCCTGCAAGGGCCGCGCTGGGGGATGCACCGGCCCCGCCTCCTCGGTAAACCCCGGCATCCATCAGTCCGTTAATTGCACTAATTAGGGATCGTGGAGGTGTTAATTGGAAAACCCTGGTATTGTGCCTGTTTGGGGAAGAAACCGTCAATAAAAATTAATTGATGAGCTGGCTGGGCCGGCAGCGCGGGTTCGCAGCGAGGTGCCGGGTGTCGTGGCAAATGTTAGGGCTCAGACTAAGCGATGGTTAATTAAAAAGCTACGGTGATTAATACTCTCTCACACCATATGGGCCCGCGGAAAAAGCACAAAGGTTTCTCCACGTGCAGGACTCCCCATCCTTTTCCCCCTCCCCACCACAGCATCCCAGCCCTGGGGTCCTCCCTTTGGTCCGAGGTAGGTGGAGCTCGTCACTTCCGCCAGGCCTTCCCCACGGGGCACCTGACGGGGTTCTTAGAAGGGCCAGTAGCCTCTGGGGAAACGGGAGCCCCCAGCGGCCCGCAGACTCCCCCAGAGCGGAAGAGGCGGCTGCGGCTTTGACCCAGCTTCCTTCCTTCTGAAGGCCCAGGCCCAAGGCCCCGGGGTGCTCTGGCTCCCGAAGGGGAACCCCGAGAGATGGGAGACTAGGAGCTGCCTAAGGGCAGGATCAGAGCGCCAGACGGAAACCCTAAGTCACCGGAAGTAACTCCCCTGCAGCCGCTCTTCTCTGCCCCGAGCGTGGTTGTAAGGGGGGTTCTGGGAAGGCTGGGGTGGGGGGTGAGGGCTTCAGTCCTAGAGAGACCTCCTGACCCCCCATACACGCGTTGTGTAAAGGAAGAAAGAACAGCCGCGAACCTGGGAAAGGCAGTGACTTGCCCAGAGTCCTACATCAGGCCTCTGGGACCAGGTGGTCTAACCCCCAGGGCCTCTCTCCTTGCTGTGGGTGTCCCGCTGATGCTTGCTGGGGAAATGGGGGCCTGGACAGAGGGGGAAGAGCAGAGTGAAGGGAGGAGGGGACTCCTGGAGGGTGCCCCCCTTACCGGAGCAGGAAGCTCACGTCTGTTCTCGCCTTTTGGGGAAGAGACCACAGCTGTGACTCAGAGGAACCCTCATCACAGGCTCCGTCCAGCCACCGGAACAGTCTGGCTTCATGCCCACCTGCTGGGCCAGGGAATTTTGCTCCTGGAGCTTCCAAGTCAGAAGAGACCTTCAAGACCACCGCTCCCTGTGGGTCTGGGGAAGCGGAGGCCCAGGGAAGGAGGGAGGCAGAGTGTGCACAGCCGGCTGTGGCTGAGCGCAGGCCACCTGGCACCCAGGCCCCTGCCTTCTCCCCTAGCCAGGGTCCAGGTCCTCAGGGACACGCTTCCTCCGCTGCACCCCACATTCTCATAGTTACAGGGCATGGATATCACGGCTCACCTCCAGCACCCCACCCCAACCCGAGCAGGCTGGGCCCCAGGCACCCGGAGCCTGCTCACCCACAGCGCAGGGAACACCCCGGCGCTATTGCAACACCCCGTGGAGGGGTGAGCCGGAGGCACGAGGCCGATGGTGTGCTGTTCTCAGAGGGCGGGCGGGCGGCCCGGGGCAGAGGTGAGGGTTCGGGCCCGGAGCACCAGCCTTGCAGGTTTCCGCGGGTGTAGGTGGGCCGGCAGCTGGAGCGCGGGGAGAGGTGACGTTCCCAGGAGGGGGCAGAGCGCGCCCTGTGGGAATTAATGCCATTCATATACCCTGCGGAAATGACTTTTCAGATGCGTATAATCTCAAGCATGCAAATGAGAGGCTTGCTGCACCCTGTTTAATATGAATGATTGGCCCTTGAATAGCTACTATTACACGCCACATTGCAGCAATTACGTTGTTCACTGGGTGTCGCTATCTGCACACACCCCTCCCCCCCATTAAAATAAAAAGAGAGAAAAGAAAGGACACCTCTGTTTGTGTCCTCTACTTTTCCCCCAAAACTTGCTGTCTGGCCTACAACCTGATGGTGTGTGTGTGTGTGTGTGTGCACGTGCGCGCGCGTGGTGTGTGTGTGTGAGAGAGAGAGAGAGAGAGAGAGAGAATTAAAAGGGGGCACTCATTCTTACCCCAGGAAAGGAACTGCTGGATTCTCTCTCCTTTCTCCTGTGCACACACACCCCTGAGGCTCTGGGCTTTGTCCCCTGGGGCCCAGGAGTTCTCAGATCTCAGAGGAGCTAAGCTTGGAATCGGGGCAGGCAGCTGCTCTCCACCCCCAGCAGGGCCAGTGTGGGGGGAGAGGGAGGCCAGACTGTGCCCCTGCTGCCTCCCCACCCCCCTCTCGTAGCGTGGGGGAAGGTGCTCTGGAGGCCGCCGGGAGGGATCAGGGTGGGTGGCTGGGAAGGGGGGCTGGAGCCCTGTGCTCTGGCGGGTGGAGGATGGCGCCCACCCCATCCATCATGTGGCGGCCACTGGCCCTCCGGCTGACACGGCCATTAAGGCCTGAGACCGAGCGCTCAATCTCTTCCAAACCGTCGCCCCCAACCTTGCCCTCCCCCTCGCCCCCGGCCCCGCTCCTTGGGCCCCAAGAGTGGGAGCAGCAGCTGGGGTGGGGGAATCCACCAGAAAAATGTGGGAACACGCAGGGAAATGCACAGACACAGGACACTCCGGCAGCCCAGGTTACCGTAGGAAGCCGTGAAGAGACCCCTGGAGTCACAGGGGAGGAGCTAAGAGCAGTGAGGTGGCACATGTGAACCGGTGGGCTCCCCTCGGACCCTCACTTCCATTGGTTTTGTTTCCGGCAGGGATAAAACGAGCACGTGGCCCAGTAGAGTGAGGGGTGCAAGAGTGAGGAGAGAATTTGGGGGCAGGAGAGAGGTGCTCCTGGGAGCTGCCATTTTAAGGAGGAATTAGTCTTTTCCAGTAGTTTCTATAACTTGCTACCTGCAAGGCCTCTTAAGTTAGGGACACCATGTGGTGGTGGGGTCTGCTTAGGCCAAAAGGGAATCAAGAAGAGAGAGGAGAACACTGCTGACTTTCCCAGACCCCTGGGCCAAGCCTGTGACGTCTCTAAGCCTCAGGGTCTTCGCCCTTACAAATAGGGCAGGCGAAGAAGGGGTTGATGGGAGCGTACTCTGCTAGGTGGTTTGTATGTGCTGTTTTATTCCCTCCTTCCAGGACTCCAAGAAATGGAGTTTTAGGGAGATTAAGATGTGTGGAGCTGAAACCGGTTTGGCTCAGTGGTAGAGTGTCGGTCTGAGGACTGAAAGGTCCCAGGTTCGATTCCGGTCAAGGGCATGCACATTGGTTGCGGGCACATCCCTGGTAGGGGCTGTGCAAGAGGCAGCTGGTTGACGTTTCTCTCTCATTGACATTTCTATCTCTCTATCCCTCTCTCCTCTTCTCTGTAAGAAATCAATAAAATATATTTTAAAAAAAGACTGTGGAAGTCTTGGTTGGGGTGGCTCAGTCGGTTGAATGTCATCCTGTGCACCGTACGATCACCAGTTCAATTTCTGGTCAGGGCACATACCCACATTGTGGGTTCAGTCCCCCAATCAGGGTTCTTGCAGGAGGCAGTTGTTTAGTGCCTTTCTCTCACATTGATGTTTCTCTCTCCCTTTCCCTTCCTTTCTCTCTCCTCCCTCTCTCCCTGAAATCAATAAAAACATCTTTTATTGAAGCACTAGTCGGTTTGGCTCAAGTGGGTAGAGTATTGGCCTGCGGACCGAAGGGTCCCAGGTTCGGTTCTGGTCAAGGGCACATGCCCGGGGTTGTGGGCTCCATCCCTAGTAGGGGGCCTGCAGGAGGCAGCCGATCAATGATTCTCTCTCATCATTGATGTTTCTCTCTCTCCCTTCCTCTCTGATATCAATAATAAAAAAGGACATAATGGTAGATACCAGCCATCTCCTGTTTCACTAAAATCCATGCGCCTCTCAAGCGCCGTTGGGGGTAGTCGGATACATCCCAGACTTTGAGAACAGTTCTGCATGTTCAAGTTCCCCCATCACAGTGTGGGTACAAGCCCCCGAGGCAGTGGGACCTCCACAAGTTGTAGCAGGAAGTCCAGACCTCCTCCTTCTCTGGGAGTGGGGAAAAGAGGGTATGGAATTCAGGCTTTGACCCTTTGCCTCTGCAAATCCCCCAACTCTGGTCCCTCCGCTCTCCCTCTGTCGGGCCAGGATGATGGACACTCTCAGCTTGTGATTGGGCATCACGGTGCCTGTGGAGACATCGTTACTGAGTGTCTCCTTGTGGCCAGACCCTCTCTGGCCAGCCTTGGAAGGGAAGGCGGAGACGTGGACCACGGCTGCCTCCACTGCACAGCTCCGAGCTGAGTCTGGCTCCCAGGAGGCGCTGGGCAAATGGAGCCTTTTTGCTGTGGAGGGAATCTCCATGAGAACCTGTGCCCTCAGGACAAGACCAGGGAGGCCCCTGCCCTGGGGAACTCCCTGTCTGCAAGCCCAGGGGCCATTACAGGTGTTTGTACAGAGGAGGAAGGAGCATACTCAGTCCCAGTGAATAGCTCACCTGCTTTTAAGTTCTTGCAGAACCCTCGCCCCCCCCGCCCCTCCCCCCATGCTCTGGCCTGGAGGGAGAGGCCAGAATAGGCATGGGGGAGGGCTGCCTCACCCCTAACATGTAGTGGCCTTCTGGAAGTCACGTTGGGAGAGGTTAGGAGAGGAGGCAGCTGCAGCCCGGACCTAGGAGAAGGGTGACATTGGGAGAGGTTGCACCCCAAAAGGGGTCCCAGGAACAGCCCCCAGAAGGTGGAGGAGGAGATGCCCAGGCCTGGGGTGGGGTGTAAGGTGGGGGTGGTGAGGGACATGGTCGAACCCAGGGGAGAACCCGCACCTGCCCTGCCCACTCAGCCTCTCCCCCATCTCTTCTCCCCCTGCAGGTCCCGCTAGAGCGACATGATGGTGGAATCTGCCTCGGAGACAATCAGGTCAGCTCCCTCTGGTCAGAATGGCGTGGGCAGCCTCTCGGGGCAGGCCGATGGCAGCGGCGGTGCTGGGGCTGCGGGCGCTGCCGGAGGCGGTGCGGGCAGGGACGCGGCAGCGGGCGCTGACAGCAACGGCGAGATGAGCCCTGCGGATCTGCTGCACTTCCAGCAGCAACAGGTAGGAGCTGGCGCCCCTCCTCGGCCACAGAGGCGTGCCAGGCCTCTGCCCACTCCATCCTGGCCACTGGCGCCACTGCTCCGTGCCAGGCGGCTTCCCTTTAACCGTCTTGGGAAGGCCCAGCTCCCAGGGACGCCCTCTGTGCCCTCCGTGCTGGTGGTCATCTTCACCAAGGGGGAGCTGAGCTTTCCAGAGAAAGAAGTGGGACTCGGGGTCCTGTCATCATGGCGCTTCGGACAGTCTCAGAAATGCCCACCGGTACAGACAGACTAGGGAGGCAGGCCCGAGGGGTACCTCCTGGGTGGGTGGGTGGGTACCCGGGCTCTTGGGCACACTGGCCAAGCTCATAGGGTTGGGGAGAAGGCCCTCCCTTTAGAAGTGTGTCCACTGGGGGGAGGGGGTGGGCACATAGGGGTATCTCCACTTCATTTGTATCATAAAATAAGCCTCTCCCCTCCCCCTGACTCAAACTGATGAGATCAAGCTTTCAGACACCAGAGGCCAAAGCAGCTGGGAAAAGGCCAAGAGCCAGAGGCAGGCAAAGGCCCGCCTCCATTTTCAGGCCTCAGACGGGCACCCCTGTCTGTGTCCGCTTTCCCTCTCATCCTCCATCATTCCCGCTCTGAGCGGCAGAGTTCAGGAGTTCAAGACCAGCCTTTCTGTGGGTAGGGAGGCCTAGGGTGGGGAGCCTGTTTGGGCGATGACAGAGCAAGGGCCCAGGTCCCAGCCCCACCCGGGAAACAGGGAGAATCTGCCTGACAAGCTCCGGAGAACCGGCCCAGCCAGCCCGGCTGGAGAGGCTTCTCTGGCTTGGCTCCCTGCTTCTCCAGTCACCGCTGGTGGCCCTGGCCCTCGGGCTCTCTGGGAGGAAGGAAAACCCAGGTCCTGCCTGCCCTCCCCACGGGGGTCCCACCCTTAAGTGCGCGCCTGCAGGGATGTGTGTAGTGGCTCTCGTGTTGTCTCCCATCCTGGGGCTCCTCCCACTCCACAGCCCCTAGGGAGTGGCAGAGGTCAAAGGGCAAAATTCTACCCCCACCACATGCCTGGGAGCCGGAGGTCAGCCTGGAGCAGCATGGCCAGAAGCTGGGCGCCCTGCACTGAGCTAGCTGGTCAACCTGCACAGACACAGGAATGGAACAAACCCGGGTTAAGGCCAGGCGCACCCCTTCGTGTGACCTTTGCCAAACCCTGGGCCTCCTGAGCCTTGGCTTGTTAGGGTCCGACGCAGTTTAGGTGTGAAACGCCTGTCGCCAGGGGCTGTGTGGATGGGAATGGAGCTAAGGGCTTTCAAAGTCGCTTCCTCTCACCAGCAGTGGGAGCTGGAGTGGAAGGGGCGGCCTCCGCTCTCTCCCCAGGGAGATGGGCCTTGGGAGTCTCCTGGCATCTCCCTGGCCTTTTACGCGGGATCTCTGGGGAGAGACTGGGTGCCTGTGCTGTCTGCTGGGGACAGAGGTCAAAGGGCAAGATCCCACTCTCGACCAAAATAGTGACACAACACACCCGCCAGAAGGCTCCCAGGCCCCCCATTCTGTATGGCCAGCTTCCCCTCCCGCACTTCCGTGCGGAATGGGGGGTGAGGCGTGGGCCGGAGAAATACTGAGACTGGGACCGTCCTTCAAAACGTGTCTGAAGCGAAGCGTGCGCACAGAACCCGGGTGGCGGGGGAGGCGCGTGGGGCGGGGAGGCACGGTGTGTGCTGATCAGGTTTCTCCGTCTGCACACACATGTTTCACCCTCCGCGCTCCACGTCCCAGCTATTCCTGTTTGTCTTGGGGAATGTCCCAAAGTCCTGGAAAATCCTATATCTGTTTCACAAATAAACTGGGGTGGAGGCTCAGAGGCGGCGGAGGGCTGTTTTACCCATTTGGGCTCTATGGGCGCGGTGCCTGGGGCCAAGGAAAATATTTGAGACGTAAAAAGGTTTTGTTGGCTCCGAGCTACGAAAAGAGACCTGCAAAATTAAAAACCCGAAAATGTGCAATTAAATAATGTATGAGAGTGAGGTGTGTGGGGGGGTTTCAGGGGTAACGCTTTCTGCCGCGCCCCCCCACCCCCACCAATGTTCCGATTTGTGAGCTAAACCAACCATAGGAAGGCGAGCCTGGCCCCGTGTGCTCCTCCTCCCTCTCAGTCCCAACCAGGAAGTCCTTCAAGGACAAACAAATACCTGTGTCTCTCGCATGGGTTGTGTCATTTAGTCATCTGGAGGGAGGGGGTGGGGGGTGGATATTATTATTCCCGATCACAGGTGAGAGGGCAGCAAGAGGGGTCTCCCAGTTCCAAGTTCAGGGTTCAGCACAGGGTCTTTGCTCCTGCCACGCACACAGTCAGCCCCCTGTAGGAAACGGAGGGAGCGAGTCCTGCCACATAGTAGGAGCTACATAAATGTGTGTTGACGCATGATCAAGAGCGCTCCATTCTCAGCCTAGAAGGTCTCTTAAAACAAACAAACAGAAGCAGCACTGTCCACTGGCCCTAAGTAGCCACTTCAGAAGAAGGAGGTTGGGGAGGAGGGGAGGCGGGTGGTGTCTGTGAGCATTGCGCTGGTCTGTCCCCTCTCCCTCTGTCCTGCTGTCTGTTGGTCCCTGTCCCTCCGCTCTGGGTAAACAAACCCTGGAAATGCAAGCTTGGCCTTTGGGAATAATGAGTTGACAGAGGAGAGAGAGAGAGATAAACAGGGCGAGTCAGAAGTCAGACCAGTGACAGGACTTTAGGCTGAAACAAACAGTGCTGGAGAGGGCAGCCACGGCGCTTTGGAATAAGAGCAGGCGCCTGTTTCCATGCAACAGCAGGCCGGAGCTTGTTTAAACAGAGGCCGGGGTGGAGGGGGGGGGGGGGGGGAGACAGACACAACTTGGCTGCCAGGCCCCTCGGAGGGAGAGAGGGTCCCTGGCCGGCTGCCCCATGGAAGCAGTCAGGGCCCCAGCTTCCCCTCCCCCTCCCCCCTCCCAACACCCTTCTTGGTGAGTGCCAGAGCCATGCCACGTCCACTCTGACCTTGGTCTCCAGTCCCCTCGCTCTGGTGAGAAAGGGGTGTGGGGAGTGTGGTGGGCCTGGGGCATGCACTTCTTCAGCAGACACGCACTGTGCCTGAGTGTGCACGGGGCACCCTGCTGGCCGCTGGAGTGGGCGACCCCCCAGCTGCTGTTACAGACCCAGCAGATGTGCCAACTGCCCATCGGTCCTCTGCCTTCACCTAGACCTGTGGTCGGCAAACCGTGGCTCGCGAGCCACACGCAGCTCTTTGGCCCCTTGAGTGTGGCTCTTCCACAAAAGACCACGGCCTGGGCGAGCCTATTTTGAAGAAGTGGCGTTAGAAGTTTAAGTTTAAAAAATGTGGCTCTCAAAGGAAATTTCAATCGTTGTGCTGTTGATAGTTGGCTCTGTGGACTGAGTCCTTCCTCACCCCCCCCCCCCCCCCCCCCCCGCCATGGTTCCCCTCGCATGGCTTTTCTCTTGCAGGATGCCCTTGCGTTTTACGTTTTATCCTAATCTGATTCACCTGCATGGAAGTGTTAATAAGTGTTCATATGGGGACCGCTCAGATCCTCTGCTGGGGCTCAGTAAGGGCTGGGAGAATCTGTGCCAGCTTTTGGGAGGTGGGGGGCCTGGGGAGGTCTTGGGGCCCGATGGGCACTCTGGCCCAGGCGGGCGGGACTCGGGCAGGAGGGCTGAGCAGGCCCCATGGGGCCGCGGGGCTGCTGGCCACCGCACTGAAAGGCGTCCCTGGCCTCCAGAGCCGCACTCCTATTGTCCTCAGGTTGTGGGGGTGACAGGTCAGCGAGGGTCACAGGAGGGTTGCTTAGCGTCTGGGAACTCCCACTGCAGTTGCTGTGGCAACCGGGGCCAAATCCCACCCCGCGCACATCCTGTGGGGAGATTCAAAAGGGTTGGGAGAAGGGGAGCTGCACTTTAATGGGCTTTTAGCTCACCCCCCGCCAAAGAAATGGGGGTGTCAGGGACCGGAGCAGGGGGAAAGCGAAGAATGGAAGAGATTTCTGTTTTCCTTCTCCATCTGGCTCTCCTCTCTGCCCAAGCCACTCGGGGGGTGGGGCAGGAAGGGGAGGGGCCTCAGAGGTGAGTTAGTGCTCCCCACCTCACACACACTGTCTGCAGTTGTCTTTACTTTTAGGCCTGGGGCTCCCTTTTTCAGTTTGTGGGACTCCCACCCTCATGCCAGATTCTGCTCTTTCGTACATGGCCTTACACCTCCTTTCCTTCCCCAGGAGGTGCTGGAGGGAGTGTTGGGGCCCAGACTCCCCCGAGGGAGATTAGAAACTTCATGTCGATGAAGTCCCTCCCATACTCTCAGCAGCTGCAGGGCCATGCTTAGAGTGCTCCTCCCTGCCTGCCCCGGAATGGGGGGCAGGTGAGTGAGGGGCTGGGCTTCCAGGACCAGCAGGGGAGAGAGCTGTGACCACCCCCACCACCACACCCCCCGTTCTTGTGCCCGTCCTGGGTTACTCAGCTAAAGACCACCGTTTCCTGTCTGCCTCCCAGTCCAAGGAAAGGGGAGGTCCCCTAGGGCAGTAGTCGGCAAACTCATTGGTCAACAGCCAAATATCAACAGGACGACGACTGAAATTTATTTTGAGAGCCAAGTGTTTTAAACTTAAACTGTGTAAGTAGTTATTAACTTAGTTATTAACTTAGTTAGGGTCTTCCTAAGCTGGCCTTTGCTAAAAACTCGAGGGGCCAAAGAGCCGCCGGCGCTACCCTAGGGGCGGGAGCTGCAGTAAGGGGGCGGGGCTGGGAGGGGACTCCAGAGCTCTGCTCTTTGGGAACCACATGAGTCAACCGGCTCCACCAGCCTCCCTTCCAGGGTGACTTTTCTCTCCTCCCTCACCCCCTCACAGGGCCCGAGTTTGGGGCCGCGGGAGGGGGTGGAATGTTTCTGAGGTGAAGGCTGACCTGGGGAGGACCGCACTCAAAGCACCTCTCAGTGGGGAGCTAGCTTTCTCCTAGGGGAGCCCCTCTATTCTGAGAGGGGAATGGCATGC